TTCAGAAATGCTTTCATTTTAGCATTCTAGAAAATTTCAGTCATTACAATAATCTTATGTTATTTAGAGGCAATGGAGAATTTACTCAAATCAAAAGACCATATCCAAACTTATTGTTGTTGAGTTGCAACCACTTACCCTCCAGTGGGTTTTCCATGGATGTAAATCACAGAAAAGTAGATTTACTTTTTTCTCCAACAGAGCCACTAGGGGGATTTGAACTGAGCTCCTCATCTACTAGAAATTTTCACGTGAATAACAGGAGGCAGCTGTTAGACTGAGCAGGCCCTGTGTAGTAGGCAGGGAGTGCTTTGGAGCTGTCAAAAGATCTGTCCTAGAGAGGGTGAAATCAGGTTGCTCCGTGGAAGCAAAGATTTTGAAACTCCATCTCACATACTTTGGGCATCTTGCCAGAAGGAACCAGTCCTTGGAGGACATCATGCTTGGAAAGGTGGAGGAACAACGCAGAAGAGGAAGACCACGGATGAGATGGATTGACCCAGTGGACCCTATGGAAATAGGGTAAGGTGTGTTGGAGATGGTGAGGCTGGCTCAGGATAGGGTAAGGTTCAAAGTCATTGTTCATAGGGTCACTACAAGTCATTAATTGACTCGATGGCACATAACAACAACACAGACAGCTTTAGTGTTTCTGTACTACCTCAGTCTTGTTGTGTATAGATGAGTCAGAACTAATTGATAGTTGACCCTCCAGTGGGTTTTCAGAGGTAGCAAATCAGACAGGAGGAGATTGCCATCTTTCTCCTGTGGAGAAACTTGTGGAATTGAAGCATGTACCTTTGCATTGGCAGCACAATTCCTCACCATTAAACCACCAGAGCTCCCTTACCTTAGTCTGGAGAGGTGAGAATAAAATGTATGGTAAAGTCTCCAGAATTTGATGAAATAATATATGAGCAAGAGCCTATGGTGATGAAGGAAGAAGTTCAAGCTACTTTGAAGGAAATAGCAAAAAATAAGGCCCCAGGATATATGGTATACCAATTGACATATTTCAGCTAATAGATGCTGCTCTGGATGTGCTCACTAAGTTGTGCCAAGAAATCTGGAGAACAACCACTTGTCCAACTGACTGGAAGAGATCTATATTTGTTCCCATTCCAAAGAAAGGTGACCCAATAGAGTGTGGAAACTATAGAACAATATCATTAATTTCACATGCAAGCAAGATTCTACTGAAGATTATCCAAAAATGACTGCAACAGCACATCAGCAGAGAACTGCCAGAAATCCAAGCTGTGTTTAGAAGGGGTAGTGGTACTAGGGATATTGTAGCTAATGTTAGACGGATCTTAGCTGAAAGCAGGGAATACCAGAAGAATGTCTATCTGTGTTTCATTGACAATGCAAATTCATTTGACAGTGTGGATCATAACAAACTGTAGCTGACTCTGAGAAGAATGGGAATCCTAGAACACTTGATCATGCTAATGTGAAACCTGTACTTGGGTCAGAACAGAGCAAGGAAACACTGCATGGTTCAAAATTGGGAAGGATGTACGCCAGGGATGTGTCCTAAGTCCATACCTTTTCAACCTGTATGCAGAGCAGATTATCCGGGAGGCTGGGCTCTATGAGAAGTGTGGTGTCAGGATTGGTGGAAGGTCAACAGTCTGCGTTATGCAGATGACACAACCCTGCTTGCTGAAACTGAGGAGGACCTGAAGCACTTGCTGTAGAGGGTCAAGGACTGCAGTCTTCAATATGGATTGAGGCTCAATGTCAAGAAGACAAAGATTCTCACCACTGGACCAATTGGCAGCATCAGGATGGATGGTGAAGAGATTGAAATTGTTCACAGCTTCAATTTGCTTGACTCCACAGTCAGCACTCTTGGCACCAGCAGCCAGTATATTAAAAGATGTATTGCGATGGGAAAGTCTGCTGTTAGGGACCTCTCCAAAGCACTGAAGAACAATGGTGTCACTCTGGAGACTAAGGTGCATCTGATACAGGCCATGGTCTTTGCAATCACTTGCTATGCATCAGAGAGTTGGACAGTGACTAGGGAGGATAGAAGGAGAATTGATGCCTTTGAGCTGTGGTGCTGGAGAAGAGTATTGAGGGTACCATGGACTGCTAAGAAAACAAACAGATTCATCCTGGAGAGGGTTAAACCAGGCTGCTCCTTGGAGCCAAGAATTCTGAGGCTTCATCTGATATACTTTAGACATGTTGTAAGGAGGGATCAGTCCTTGGAGAGGGACATCATACTTGGGAGGGTGGAGGGACGGCACAGGAGGGGAAGACCCTCTATGAGGTGGATCGATTCAGTGACTGGGGTAATCGGGATAGGTGTATCAGAGGCAGTGCGATAGGCACAAGATAGAGCAGGGTTTAGGGCTGTTGTACATAGGGTCGCTATGAGTCACAAGTGACTCGATGGCACATAACAACAACAAGGTCTCCGGCTCTAGGAGCTTAAAGGGTCAAATTTTCTGTACCAGCCAAGTTCTGAGGTGAAAAAAAAAAATTTAAAAAATTTCAGAATTACCTGGATGACCATTTTGGCTTTGTGTACAGGGTTGTGTTATAGGTAGGAAAGGAGCCCTAGTGGTGCAGCTGTTTGAGTAATTTGCCTGCTTGCCCCTGAAATGTCGAGAGTTCAACCATCAGCTTTGTGGTGAAAGCAAGATGTGACAGTCTGCTTCTCTAAAGATTATTACAGCCTCGGAAACTCTACAGGGTGGTTCTACTCTGTCCTATCTATATGAGGCCACTATGAATCAGAATCAACAGGATAGCAGTGGTTTGTTTAGAAGAGGATTGCTCCTTAAGTGTTAGAATCTGCACACCCATGTTTATTGGTGTGTTATTCACAATAGCAAAGACATGAAAACAATCCAAGTGCCCGTCAGCAAACAAATGGAAAAACTATGGTATATTCACACAATGGAATACTATGTAGCATTGAAAAATAATGAACTTGTAAAACATTACACAACATGGGTAACCCTGGAGGACATTAAGATAAGTGAAATGTCTCAGTCTCAAAAGGACAAATACTTCAAAACACCGCTGTTATGGAGCAGGACTGACATGGGGCCTTGGGAGAAGAACAGGAAAGGAGTGGATAGATAATGAATACTGTATTAGAACAGATGAGAGAGAACTGTTTAAAAGGAATATATAATTAGGTATTAAATGAAAGACAAGGATCCAGAATAATTGTGCAACAATGAACTATTTTTTTTTTAAGAAAGTGAACTGGGGAAAGGGGAATGAAAATTTTCAGTGAATGAAAATCCAAATTTTCTGTAAGCTTTTGTTAAAATAATAGTTAAAATTAAAAAAAAAAACTTAAAATATTAGCATCATACTCTGCTTACCCTAAGAGAGAACACTCAAAGAGAACCTGGCTGAGGAAATATTAAGAGTTGCATCCCAAGCTCCTTCTCTTACATGCTTAGACAAGCAGTCAACTTGAAAAGGATGACTAAGGACAAGGCACTAAGACTCAGTCTCCACAGTGCAGTGAGACTTTGATTTACCTGCTGTGTAGGATTGCTGTGAAGACCAATTGGTATAAGCCTGGGTTTGGAGCTCCATGAACAATATTCTCACCAAACCTTGTCGACGTCATCATTAGGAGCCCAACTTGGCTCTGACTCAAAGCTACTCTTTGTACAGCAGCAGGAGACACATTTTCATAATCGCTGCTGTGTTTAAGTCCATTTGACAATCACCATGGCAATCTGTCTCTCAGAGGATCTTCCTCCTTTTTGTTGACCTTGTTATCAAGTTTTTCTCCAGGGACTGGAATCCTTCTGAAAACATAAATCTAAGTCTCACGTAAAATGGTTGTATATTACTACCGCCTATCTCATATGCTTGAGATGAAGAATAATTTGAAATATACCTAGAAAATGTTAATTATGGAGTGTACGTTATGTGTTGTTGAGCCATAACTGACTGAGATGACCCTTCAGTGGATTTTCAGAGGCTTTGAGTCACACAGGAGGAGACTGTCCATCTTTCTTCCACGAAACAGCAGCTGGTGGATTTAAACCACCCTAAACCTCCTTCGCAATCACCTGTTATGCATCAGAGAGTTGGACAATGACCAAGGAGGAGAGAAGGAGAATTGATGCCTTTGAGCTGTGGTGCTGGAGAAGAGTATTGAGAATACCATGGAGTGCTAGGAAAACAAACAGATTTGTCCTGGAAAGGGTTAAACCGGGTGGCTCCTTGGAGGCAAGGATTCTGAGGCGCCGTCTAACATACTTTGGACATGTGAGGAGAGACCGGTCCTTGGAGAGGGACATCATGCTTGGGAGGGTGGAGGGACAGCGCAGGAGAGGAAGGCCCTCTATGAGGTGGATTGAGTGACTGAGATAATTGGGATGGGAGTGTCGGAGACAGTGGGATTAGCACAGGACAGAGCAGAGTTTAGGGCTGTTGTACATAGGGTCGCTATGAGTCGCAGATGTCGCAACAACAACAAACCTTAGCTGCACAACTTCTTACCTACTAGGCCACCAGAGGTCCTAAATAGTTAATTATTAGTTCTCATAACGGCTGAGAAAAATGACACAATATTATGCAAATAGATGAGGTTTGATTTGTTCCCTAAAAAGTTATTTTTCTGAATTGGCTAAATCATAGAACGGACTGCTATCCATTCTATTCCAACCTCATAAGCGACTCTCCATCGATTTTCCGATTCAGAAAATCTAACCGGAGGAGACTGCCCATTCTGTCTTGCGCAGAGCCGCTGGTGGATTCAAACCTCCAGAGATGCGCAGCCCTTTTTATTATGGACAGCGGAACCTGAATCAAATGCAACAAAAGTCACCGTGACTCTGTAAAGAGCCTGTTAGTACAGCAACGCAGTAGCTACAAAGCCCCGCCTCTGAGGTGTAAGTCACGCCCCAACCGCCCTCAGACCACGCCCATTATGTTTACTTCCTGATCCAGGCCTATGAGCCTGGCTCTCACGCTGATGCGCATGTGCAATATAGGCCTCTTCCACCCGGGCTATGAGGATTCTAGTGCGGCGTTGCTGGAGCACACGGTTGGTCCCTAGCGCCACTGGCCTGAGGTTGACTCCACTATGGCGATCGCTGGCCGGTCTCGGCGAGGAGGGCCTAGGAGCTCGAACCCGCAAGAAGCCCCCGTGGCGGGTGCTCTTCTTCGGCACAGATCATTTTGCCCGCGAGACGCTGCGGGCGCTGCACGCCGCCAGGTAGTAGGGGAGGAATAGGGAGGGCTTGGATCACGGGCTGCGGACGCCGAGCCTCTCTGGTTCGCACCGGAGAGCTTTGCAATCCAAGTCAGGAAAGGCCCAGATCTTGGCATCTGTCAAGCCCAGAAGGTGTGTCGCACCTGTCCTGGCAGCCCCTTCCCATCGAGTCTCCATCCCCCACTCTTTGCCCGCCCTTCCATTTGATTTACCCGTTTGTACCTTGTCAAATTACTTGCTCAAGGTTAACAGCTAAGCAGGTGGAGATGCAAACTGAGTCTGACTAAAAAGTCACCCTGTCGACTTCCTCCTACTGCCTCCTACCAATCTAATTCGTACCCTCCAACCCTGTTCTAATAGGTGCATGCATCCCTCTGCTCTCCATGGCACCTTAACACTCCATGCCCTACCTCCCCAATTTTCTGGAGCTGAAATGAGGATGTAATCCAAAATGAACCTTTCCCTCCCCTAATTAAATATATTTAGAAATCAGAACTCTTAAGTGTATGTTTTGTATTTAGCCAATTTTAGCAAATCATGTATTCTGAAAAAAAAGATATTTAAAATCTAACCATTAAACCTATGGTTGTTATTGTTGTGTGCCATCAAGTTGAACCGACACATAGCTGACCCTCCAGCAGGGAAGAGATTGCCCATCCTACTCATGCAGAACAGCTGATGGGTTTAAACCATACACCTTTTGGGATTGCAGGGCAGCTTCTTACCGCTAGGCCACCAGAGTTCTTTGGTGGCTATGTACGCTCTGCCTCTTTACCCCCATTGTTCTTTTTTTATTTCTTTACTCTTTCCAGACACACACTCCCTACATAGTCATTTCTGTCATTATCTCATTCTATCTATCAAGTTTTGCCCCCTAAAACTCTCTTCAATTCCTTGTTTTTATATTCCTCCCTCTCCATATCCCACTACCTATTCAGACTCTGAAACAACCCTTTCAAGCCATGTTCCTTTTCTGTACCCTCCACATGCCCTCTCCATGTGCTGCATTCCTCCCATACGGCTACATGCAGCCTCTACTGCCAGGATCCTGAGCCTTCTGAGGATGCTTCACTTAGCATCTAGGTCACTCCTGTATTTTCTCTTTATTATTATTACTATTCTTAATTTTTAAC